TATTTTGGCTAGAATAAAGTCAGCTTCGTGAGCAACACTTATAAAGTGCTCGCGAGACGCCTTAGCTAAGAGACGACATTCGTTCACAAGCTCAATAAAGGCTAAACCCGCGTGCTTTTGAAGGGAGTTTTGCCACTCCTAAAATGATAAGAGAGAAATTACAATCCTGTCCATTTTGAAGAATCTTCCAATCCGCAGGATATACCTGTGAGCAGAGAAGCATAACAATCTCAACTGCAAGTGAGGAATTGCGAAGGGCATTGAGACCACCTGTGAAGAGAAGATCCTGTCCATGTGATCCAATAAGGGTCTTTCCAAGAAAAGCCTCAAAGTCGAAGAAAATTTCCTTGAGCAGGGGTACCGAGGAACCGAGAGAATGCTCGAGAAGATCAGTGAGGTCTGCGGGTGGAGATTTTGTTGAGGTAGTCGGAGGAGAAGATAAAAGGCGAGGTGTTGGTGGTGGTGGCGAAGATTCTGACGATACCGTATTCGCGACCTCGGAGGCACCACTTGTACTGGCAATGACGCTGCGGACTGTTGGTTTACCGGTTGCTAGGGAGATAGGGAGAGTAGTCTTGGGCATGGATTGATGTACAGTTGCTACCTGAACTTGACTCTCATTACTGACGTCGATAGGCTCCACCGATTCTTCATCCTCATTACCATTTTCCTCAACACTCGGATCTGAGAGAGTTAAGTTCAAAATGAAATTCGAGGAACACAATTCAGTTATTTCAGTACAAATAGCAATGCTTGTTGAAAGTGACCTCCACGAATGCAAATTCAATAAGTGCAGTGGGAATAACATGGCGGTGGAAAATCATCACATGAAATATCGTACACCCAAACTCTCTCTTCAAAGTGTCTGCGCCAATGGGGAGAAAAGTATACTCATGGCCTTAAATACTGAGAGCGGTTTTATTCTACTTATAGTATTAGCTTGTATTGAGTAAAGAGCCGATTTGTGGATATTCGGTCCTCAAAAATGGAAATCTTGACAACTTTTATGACGCCTCAAAGGTACCTCGACACCAAGTTCACTCAGATGCGACACAAATAGCAATTGGAGTTGGCGGAGCTGTCAAAAATGATCAACTTCGCACCCCGCTAATTAGTGTTCAAGGTCAATGGAATTGACAACATTTAGACTGAAGGGGAAGTCATTTGAGACACCAAGTTCAAGGTCACAGAGAGAGATAGGAAGATTTCAATTACATCTTGAGGGGGAGGTTAAGACACCTTTGTGAAGTGACGGACATAATACTCATGGCCAAGAAGTTTACTTACTTCCCAGTAATTAATGTACTACAAAGTCCAAAAAGTGAACACACAAACGCGTGCCTCACGATTTCTGGAGCGTGTGAAGACGATCAAGTACTTCAATTAAGCGCCAAAAGTGGGGAAGCGGTAGTGTCACTGACGATCTCAATCAATTATGAATTGAGCATCGATTTCAGGTCATGAAAAGCGAACTCACCTTTTTCACTTCCATTTTGAGGTGGGCTTTGAAGCTCCATGTTGTCTTTTTCTTCAGCTTTTAAAGAAGAAGGCTCATCACTTTGCACCGCTTCTGTCCTAGTAGCTTCGGTATGATCAGACTGAGTAGAAACAGCTCCGCATTCAGATTCCGGATCTTCGGATTTGGAAGCAGCATTTTTCTGTAATCCTGGAGTTGAGCATACCATTACTATAATTTAACTTGTACTAAAACAACATGTGTTGTGTGGTGATGGTTTCCAAAATCATTTCACCCTTAACAACCATTGGTCACACAGAATACTTCCCATTGAGATTACTCGTTTACAAGGACGAATTTCGACAACACCCCCTTTCACGGGAGATTTTAAGTAGTGTAACCACCAACACATTCACAGTTTGGGCAAATCTATTGCAATCGGTAGGATCAATTCGTCGTAAGTTTAATGCATTAATCTAAATCGGAAGTGAGCAAGAAAGTCAAGACGTGATGAAAATTATGCACTCCCCCCCTCCCCCCTCCCGAATTTTTTCACTTTGATGTTCCTTTCCCTCTGTGAAGCCTGAAGTCAACTAAAGAGCCAATGATAAATATTATAAAGCCTGCCATTTGATATAAATAAATAAATATTTATGTTTAAGTTTAAGCTGCTTATATACAATTATTTGCTAATTTTTCATCTATCTGTACTCTTATTCCATTTACCTTAAACATCAGATTTTATTTCGCCTAGGTTATTGCTTATTCGATTTTAAGGCCTAATTTTGCCAGCTTAGAAACTATTAAACTTTGTAATTTTTCCTAGGTTCAATCACAAAATTTACCACACTGATCCTGGTCACTAATAATCCGAAAATCTGCGTAGTCTTTTAACATACCCAAATGAATTACTGCGCGGCAATCTAATTATTTTCTGTTTGTGAACCGAATAAAAATTAAGAAAACACCTAATGCCCTATTTCTGAATTACATAACTAAATGATTAACATTACTATGCAGCAATTATACAGGTAAGAATACCTACTGGGGTATGTCATTTTCCAAGTCTAATTATTTGATGATTTTAAAGTCTTGAGGAACCAACACAAGCAAATAGATAAATAAATACATAATTCCTAACATTTGCAAGGATTTTTGTCGTCCAAACACCATCATTTTGAAATACATTTAGGATAACCAGAAAAAAAGCGGATACAAATATAGAATCCTAAGTGTAATAAACGGATTAAAAATTATTTGACAACGCGCGTTATAACAAGACAAAAATGCCGCAAAAAAAGGTTATAAAGTAATTACTATGATACAATGCACTATATTACAAACTATAATATCATGTCCAATGATTCCTGTCCATATTTTAGGGTATTATTCCGCACATCTAGATTTCAACAATATTTATTTCAACAAGACGATAGTAAATATATGTGTTAATTAATAATAATGCATGGAATTTTCATTCTATATAACTCCACGTTTTACAATTATTATGTAAATTAAACCAGTAAGTTCTTTGTGATTTTGCAACTGAGAGGAATCTATGTAGACACTTTTCT